CTGGGCGCGCTCTGAGGGGGGGTCTGCGTGGGGGCCTCGCCTGTTCGAAGGGGTGGGGAAGGGGGGGAAGAGGCGGAGGAGACGGGGGGCAACAGGAGGCGGGGGGGAGAGTGAAGGAGAGGGGTGAAGGGAGGGAGCGGGGAGGAGGGGGACAGAGGGTAGTGGCGCAGGGCAGTGGCTCACAGACCGAATCGCCATGGCCGAGGGGAGCGGCTCCTACACACGATCTGGGAAGGCCTCTGTGGGGCTCAAACCTTCGAAAGGTCGTCTCTGATTGAGGAAACTCTGTGCCTCCTCCTTTCTCCGTCCACCTCCTGAACATTCTCCTCCTCCTCCTCCTCCTCATGATCCTCCTCCTCATCACCACATCATCATCACGATCACCATCACCATCACCATCACGATCACCATCACCAACATCATCATCATCATCATCATCATCATCATCATCATCATCATCAGCAGCAGCAGCATCAGCATCAGCATCATCATCCTCATCAGCATCACCATCATCATCAACCTCAGCATCATCAGCATCCTAAGCATAAGCATCATCATCAACACCGTTGCCATCATCATCATCATCATCAGAATCATCATCAGCATCGTCAACATCATCATCAGTATAACCCTCTGCACCACAACCACCATCATCACCAGCCTGCTCATCGTCATCATAAACATCATCATGATCAGTATCACCATCAGTATCATCATCATCATCATCATCATCATCATCATCATCATCATCATCATCATCAGCGGCATTATCATCATTATCATCAGCGTCATCGTCTGGTCATCGTCATCGTCATCGTCATCATCATCAGCATCGACAAATTCATCAGCAGAAGCATCACCATCATCATCATCATCATCATCAACATCATCAGCATCATCATCATCATCGTCATCATCATCGTCGCCAGCATCATAATCGTCATCAGAATCATCGTCATCACCATCATCAGCATCATCAGCCTCATCAGCATCACCAGAACCCGTATCATCCTCATCAGAATCATTATCATCATCATCAGCAGCATCGGCATCATCATCAGCAGCTTCATCACCAGCAACAGCAGCATCACAAGAATCATCGCCATGATTAGCATAGTAACCATCATCATCATAATCGTCACCAGAAGCATTATCATCAGCATCAGCACCATCATGATCACCAGCATCATCATCATCAGACTGGTCACCATCATCATCCACATCATTATCAGCAGCATCATCATAATCATCATCATCGTCATCAGCATCATCACCATCATCAACCGCATCAGCATCATCATCGGCATCGGCAGTATCATCACACCATCAGCAGCATCATCATCAGCACCATCTTCGTCGACGCCGTCGTCAGTAGCATCGGCATCGTCACCAATATCATCACCAACATCATCAGCAGCATCAGCAGAATCAGCATCATCATCAGCAGCAGCACCATCATCGTCATCTGCAGCAGTAGTATCAGCATATCCGAATCGCCAGTACCATCATCAACATCATCAGTATCATCAGCATCATCATCATCATCATCATCATCATCATCATCATCATCAGCAGCAGCATCAGTATCACAATCATCAGCAGCATCAGCATCAGCATCAGCATCAACATCATCATCAACAGCATCAGTATTATCCTCATCACCCTCATCATCCTCATCACCATCATCATCAACAACGTGGCCATCATCCTCAACAACCTCATCATCACAAGCATCATCATCAGCAGCAGCATCGCAATCATCATCCTCATCATCATCATCATCATCATCATCATCATCATCATCATCATCATCATCATCATCATCATCATCGTCGCCATCTTCATCGTCATCATCATCATCCAGATGCGCATGCTCTCCTCCTCGTCGTCCTCTTCCTCCTCCGCCTCCTCCTCCTCCAACTGCTTCACCTCCTTCTCCTCCTCATACCCCCCCCCCCCATCCTCCCTCAAGGGAACTCTGTGCATCCTCTGCCCTCCCACTTCTCCTCGTTCTCCTCCCCATTCTCCTCCCTCTCATCCTCATCATCGTCTTCATCTTCCTCCTCCTCCACCTCCTCCCCATCGTCCTCCTCCCCATTCTCCTCTTCCTGATGCTCCTGCTCTCGTCCTACTCCTCATCTTCCTCCTCCTCCTTCTCCTCCTCCTCTTCCTCCTCATACTCCTAATCATCATCCTCATCATCATCAGCATCATCAGCATCGTCACCATGATCATCAACCTCAGCATCATCATCAGCATCATCGTCGTCATCAGCTTCATCAGCATAATCAGCATTGGCATCAGCATCATCCGAATCAGCATCATCACCAACATCAACATCATCGTCGTCATCATCATCATTATCATCAGCATCCTCATCATCGTCATCGTCATCATCATCAGCATCAGCACCACCATCATCAGCACCAGCATGATCCTCAGCATCATCATCAGCAGAAGCATCGTCACCAGCATCATCATCATCATCCTCATCATCATCCTCCTCATCGTTTTCATTCGCATCAGCAGCATCATCATCAGTATCATGCCATCGTCGTCATCATCGTCAGTCTCATCAGTATCAGCGTCATCAGCGTCACCAGCGGCATCCTCATCATCATCACCAGCATCATCATCGTCATCATAATCATCATCAGCATCAGTATCATCATCGTCAGCACCAGCATCATCATCATCATCAGCAGCATCAACGGCATCGTCATCAGTATCATCATCATCATCATCATCATCATCATCATCATCATCATCATCATCATCATCATCATCATCATCATCATCATCATCATCATCATCCTCAGCATGAGCATCATCATCATGATCATCACTGTCAACGGCATCATCGTCATCGTCATTGATATCATCAGCATCGTCATCATCATCATCATCATCATCATCATCATCATCATCATCATCATCATCATCATCATCATTATCATCATCATCATCATCACAATCACAATTACCATCACCATCAGCATCACCGTCACCATCACCATCACCATCAGCATCAGTATCAGCATTGGCAGCATCATCATGATCATCAGCATCATCATAGTCAGCAGCATCATCATCATCAGCAGCATCATCATCAGCATCGGCATCATCATCATTATCGTCAGCAGCAGCACCGTATCATCATCAACATCATCATCAGCAGCATCAGCATCGTCGTCACCAGTATCATCATCATCATCATCATCATCATCATCATCATCATCATCATCATCATCAACAACCTCAGCATCATCATCATCATCAGCATCATTAGCTTCATCAGCATCATTATCAGCAGCAGCATCATTATCACCACCCTCATCGTTACCACCATCATCAGCATCATCAGCAGCATCAGCATCAGCATCAGCATCATCATTATCGTCCTCAGCATCATCAGCATCATCATTACCATCAACATCATCATCAGCAGCAGCATCATGATCAGAATCATCTCAGCATCATCAGCATCATCAGCATCATCAGCATCAGCATCGCAAACATCAGCATCATCATCATGATCATCATCATCATGAATGTCACCAACCTCAACGTCAGCATCATCACCAACACCACTTCACCACCACCACCGCCACCATCATCATCATCATCAGCAGCAGCACCATCATCAGCAGCATCATCAGCATCACCAGCACCATCACCATCATCATCAGCATCAGCATCAGCATCAGCATCAGCATCAGCATCAGCATCATCAGCATCATCATCATCATCATCATCATCATCATAATAATCATCATCCGCCTCCTGACCCTCGTCGTCCCCACTATATCCGTATTCATTTTGGCTCTCAAGGTCCTGGGTCCTGCGGAACCCACGGTCACCCAGCATTTGCCGCGAATGCTGCAAACCCCTGGGGGAAGCAACTTTAACGCGACCCCATCGCACTGTTCGAGGTGCGCTGGGTGAGCACCTGCGGGATCGTCCATTACGAGGGGGCCGCAGACCTCTTGCAAGCACGGCCAATGTGCGTTCTGCTGTTACGGTAGGGGCAGTGGGTAAGGAACCGTTAGAGGAGCCAGGGCCCTGAAGTTGGCAGGACACCAACTTAGGCTTAGCCATGGATATTACCACTGCCCTCATCACATAAGAATGGAGGAAGCAAAATCTGCAAAAACATAACCTATTGACGGTCGGCGCGGATTTCTTGGATCTGCGCGGCCCGTCACAAGTTCATGTCTATGCAAATATTTCTCTTCGGAAGGAACCTCCACGGCCTCATTCCTCTTGGTGCGAGGCGGGGGGACTTCAATATTCACCGCCTGTGGAACCAACCTCCTGGGACCCTAGCGGGCGGTGGATATGAAGAGAGGCCGAATAAATCCATATCCATCGCCTATCGAGGTGTCCGACAATCAATCCTCCAGGCGGTGGTTATGTATGAATCCCAAACTCGGGCCTGGGCACACTCCTCAACCAACAACCCTAGCGCGCAGTTGGAAAAAGTCCGATCTCGGATGCAGCGCGCTCTTGGCGCCAAGCGACAGCATCGGACCACCGTCGAGGATCGGGCGCACGCTTACGGCAGGTTCGTGTCGTCCAGGCTTTGGCGCTCGTTTCTGACACCGCGGGGATCGGCCGAGTCCGAAACGCCAGATCGGTCAACACCTATCGATTCTCGGTCGCCGGCGACATTCAATGTTGAACGCTGGCGGCGGGGTCGCCGCCGATCGCCACGACACCAGCCTACCGTACAGGGATCGTGGAAGATACCCCCCGGAACATGGCGCCAATGCCGCCTGATTTGTCGACAGCGCGCACCAAGTCTGTACGGAAACGGGACTCGTCGCGAACCCACGCGCCATAATCCATGTTTGCGTTTCTCCGAGAGGGCGGCGGCGAGGGCCGCAATGGCAAAAAGCATGGCCAGCCCCCCCGCCCCGAGGGCTTTCCGCCGCCGCCCTGGGCGCCCTGCGACAGACGCGGCTGGCACGGCCAGCGCGCCGTCGCCGACGCCGAGGCAG